ACATCAGAAGTTCTGGTTTTACTTGCTGTAGGCTTGTTTTAGGTCATTGACTTAGAACATGGCAGCCATTGGCTTGTCATGACAGCCAGGTGCCTAGCATTTTCTGAAAGAAGACAGCAATGAGCACCTGCATATTTCTCTCTCAGTACATATAAACTTTAAGTAGGTAATTATGTGTACCTGGAGAGGAACCACTATTGTACCCAATCTGGCAAATATGGCTTAAAATTTACAGTAACACTTCTGAGAATCTGCTTGTCTGTTTCTTTGTCCACTACTTCCTTGGCTGTAGACATGTCTGGGGGGTCACTAGTTCAATTTGTCATCAATTCTTTTTAATCAAAAGATCTCATTATCCATGTTTGTAATCACACAATTTTTAAAAGCTATTTAATGATACAAGCTGGTAAGAACGTTGCCCTGTAGTATAACTTTTCACTTTGAGAGTTAAACTTATTTGGCACGAAGGTAGGTAGGTAGGTAGGTAATGGTCTGTCATATAAGATACTACCACTAATGAAGCAAACTTTAGTTTTGCAGTTTATTACTATATCATGCTTACAACAGTTTTGCTCCCTGTGGGATTAATAATATTGTGGGCAAAAAACTAATATGTTATTAATAATATTAGTGAGTAAAACATAAGCGTAAGCAACCTTCATATTTACAATGACCGTAGCGTAAGTAGGTGATAGTGAAGCTTTTGTACTGTATGTGTTTTTGCATACGTATTTAGGAGTGAACTGCTCTACAAAAGCTTATTTGGTCCCAGAGACATTTATAATGGGAGCTCCTGAAATACACATGTATTATGTATTTTTGCATGCTTCCATAAAGTCAATGGGGTCTAAAACATCCATTCTTTTTTCAAAAGGGTACGTTTTGGAGCTGTAGGTGTTGAGTGCAGGCGCCTGAATGCTCCAATATGAACAGGAAAAGATGTTTTAAAGGTTTTGGAGATTTGAGTGTCAAGCTAAAAAAACTCTCAGGTGTGAGTGTAGCTAAAATATGCTAACTGATATTTCCTATATGTTGATGTTTGACAATTATTATTATATCTGGAAATTATCTTACTATTATTTTTTCAAACTTTTCATTGATTTCAGCAGAGGTTTTAGAAAACAGTGCCTGGACATCACTCGCAGCTGCTGTCTATCCAGGTCAAAGTATTGCATGTACAAGTACAAAAAAACAAAAGAACAAAAAAAAAACCACACACACACACACACACATATATATATATATATATATATATATATATATTATATATACAGTATGTGTGTGTTGACTCGTGTTGAATCACTGGAATCGGAATTCTAAAATCTGAGATCAGGTTCCCCTAAGGAACAGGATGCAATCATAAATCAAATGATCAACCATTTCCCATCCCCTATACCAGTCCCAAAAGTTGTGCAAGTTAAGCAGTTGTAGCATCTTCCAACCATCTGGTCCCAATTTTATCAAACTTCTGGGGCAACCCCTGTTTGCATAGGTGGTCTTGTAGAGTGGTAGTTGGGTGTTCACTAGTTGTTTCCAAAACCCAATTGTGGGAGCCAAGGGTTTTTTCCAGTGAAGTCGGAGTGTCATCCTGGTATAAAAGAGTAGCAATCTGATTAGTGTGCTAATTGTTTTGACATTGAGCTGGGAACATCTGGAATCCTTGATTATTATACAGTATTTATAAAGCACCAATAGTTTGCTCAGCACTGTACATTACAAAGGGGGACAGAACATGTGACAGAACAATACCAATACAATGCAAAACATGAGGGGATTGAGGGCCCTGCTCTTTCGAGCTTACAATCTAGGAGAGAGGGGATAGTGGTACAGGAGGAAATAGCTGTGGGGGATGGAGAGGTAAGAAGAGTGGAGGAGGTCGGCAGGTTAGGAAAGGGTGGTGTAGGCTTCCCTGAAGAGATGGGTTTTCAGGGTGCACCTAAAGGAGGGGAGAGTAGGTGATATTCTGATGGGTTGGGGCATGGAGTTCCAGAGGATGGGTGACACCCTGGAGAAGTCCTGGTGGTGGGCATGGGAGTAGGAGACAAGGGAACTAGAGAGAAGGAGGTCTTGTGAGGAGCGGAGTGTACGTGCTGGGCGGTACTTGGATATTAGGTCAGTGATGTAGTTAGGGGCAGTATGGTGGACAGCTTTGTATGTCAGTGTTAGGATTTTGAATTTGATCTGTTGCGCAATCGGAAGCCAGTGGAGGGGTTGGCAGAGGGGGGTGGCGGAAACAATTGCTTCTAAGATTGCTTATTAAATTAAAAAGACATCCCTTAAAATACACTATACGGCCAAAAATATGTGGACACCCCTTTACATTATTGAGTTCAGGTGTTTTCAGTGAAGGGAACTGTTAATACTACATTTTTTTGGTTGTGGGGTTCTACCCTTGTAACAATAGTTTGAGGAAGGCCCTTTTCTTTTCCAGCGTGACTATGCTGCTGTGTTCAGAGTCAGATCTAAAAGGACATGGTTTTATCAGTTTGGTGTGGAGAAACTCAAGTGGCCTGCACAGAGGTCTGCCCTCAGCCCTATGGAACACCTTTGGGAAAAGCCATCTCTCATCCAACCTCAGTACCTGATCTCACTAATGCTGTTTTGGGTGAATGGGCACATTTCACACAGAAATACTCCAAAATCTTGTGGAAAAGCCTTCCCAGAAGAGTGGAGACTGTTAAACCTGCAAATGGGTGCAACTCATTATTAACCTCTTGTCATTATTAACCTCTTGTCAACTGCATAACGCATATAATTGGTGGCAAAAAAAGTGGGATTACTGAGTGCTCCCACAACACTGACCTCTGAGCTGTCACAACAGTTTTCAGCAAGGCTTTTCCATGGGAACCAGAGGGATGGGCTCCCAATCATGTGACTGCTGTGAAATCCAATCACAGGGATCAAATGATACAGAAGCCATGCTGCTTGCATTTATAACCCACTTAAAGGGCCACCAGGAGGTGGCTTAAGGGGTGAATGCCCATGGTTTGGAATGTGATGTTTAACAAGCTTATAAAAGTGAAAAAGTCATCTGCTCACAAGTTGTTGGCCATATAATTCATCTCAAAACAGTGATTAGAAAATTAGTTTAAACCTAGCGATCTGTTAAATTTTGATTCTTATGAACATATGCATGCTGATTTGTCCTGTCTCTTGAAAATCATACAAGCAATGAATTGTGAATGCCTGGTTTACTAAATGTATAATTCTCTGCAGTGCAGACAAATCTAAAGGCAGGTTCACACCAAGAGTCACACAGGAATTTGAGTACAGTGCGTTTTCAGCCCGTTCATGTGAATCGGCTGAAATCGAATTGCAACTCACCAAAAGTAGTGCATGCAATACGTTAAAAATGTACTGCAACCAGATCACATGGAACTTTGGTACCATGCATATGGGTGCAGGCAAACACACTGTGTTTTCTCTCTGTGTTTGGGGTGCAGTTAACTTTACACTGACACCTACTGCAGATCGCAGACACTGCACGTTTTGAAAGTGGTGCTGAAAACGCCCATGGAACGTGAGTTTCCCAAACTGTATTCCAGTGTGAACTGGCACTCAATACAGATGTTCAGGTGGATGAAAAAGTGATTTATTGGCAATGGATTCTGGATTCTGCCACTCCTGTCTCTTAGGGCTCGTTCACACTTGACTTTATTTCTAACTCTTGCCAAAACGTCCCTATAGCTTTTGACAAGCGTTAGACAGGCGTTTAGGAAGCATTTTTAATGCTCTGCAAACACACCCAAAAGCCCTATGCGCGGTTTTGAGGCGGTCGATAGGCGTTTGCCAAGCGTTAAAACCGCACCACAAACTCCTATAATGAAGTTTAAATGGTATTAACGCTCCGCAAACACCTCACAACCGCGTCGCAAACGCCAGCCAGGCATTTGCGCAGCGGCACCACAGACTTGAATGGGAGGCTTCAAGTCCTCCTGACTCAACCAGAGGCGTCCGTTTTGCTGCGATGCGACGCTAACGCTTCCGTGTAAACAGCACTGTGTGCTGCCCATGTGCAGAATTTTCAGAGGTGTTTGAGAAGTGTTAAAAACTCTTCCCAAACACCTGTCTGACGCCTGCTGACAAAGCTAGTGTGAACGTTGCCTTACTGCTTCACACTACTGTTGCAACTCCACCAATTACTGAGCTAATTCCAATAAAACTCTGAAGTTGGGCTAAAATGAAAATTCTGAATGATCTTAATTTTAGTTATTCTGTAATCCCCTGCATTAACAGCACACATAGACCACCTCACATGGTAATTTGGAGGTCATTGGCAGTGTTTATTGGGGGTAAGCTTAAGGTTCAACGTTGGCTGTTTGGGCATTCGGATGGATGCAGAACATCATGTATAATTGTGGTACTGCTACCACTATTAAACATGAAAACCTTCCACTGTCAGTGGTTGTTAACCACTTGCCTACCAGGCACTTATACCCCCTTCCTTACCAGGCCAATTTTCAGCTTTCAGCGCTGCCGCACTCGCACTTTGATTGACAATTGCGCGGTCATGCAACATTGTACCCATATGAAATTTTGATCATTTTTTTCTCACAAATAGAGCTTTCTTTTGGTGGTATTTAATCACCACTGGGCACTTTACTTTTTGCGCTATAAATTAAAAAATTGCAAAAAATTTGAAAAAAAAAAAAAAGTTTCTTTGTTTCTATTACAAAATTTTTCAAACAGGTATTTTTTCTCCTTCACTGATGTGCGTTGATGAGGCAGCACTGATGGGCACTGATAGGCGGCACTGATGGGCACTGATAGGCAGCACTAAAGGGCACTGATAGGCAGTACTAATGAGGTGGCACGGATAGGCGGCACTGATAGGCAGCACTAATGAGGTGTCACGGATAGGCGGCACTAATATGCAGCACTGATAGGTGACATTGATGATGGGTACTGATAGATGGCACTGACTGGCATCACTGCTGGGCACTGACTGGCACAACCGTTGGGCACTGACTGGTGGCACTGACTGGCAGCACTGCTGGGTGGCACTGGTGGGCAGCACTTGTGGGTGGGCAAAGGTGGGTGGCACTGGTGGGCACAGGTGGGTGGTACTGGTGGGCACAGGTGGGTGGCACTGCTGGGCACAGGTAGGTGGCACTTCTGGGCATAGGTGTGTGACACTGCAGAGTGGCACAGGTGGGTGCACTGCTGGGCACAGGTGGGCGGAGCTAGTGGGCGCACTGCTGGACACAGGTGGGCGGAATTTGTGGGTGGCACTGCTGGGCACCGATCATCAGGGCACTGATCATCAGTGGCCCTGATGATCGGTGCCGATCCTCGCTCTGACAACTGCCGGTTCTCGGCAGTACTTTCCTCTTGATCTGACAGCGTGAGGAAAGTGCAGCCGAGAACCGGCACTTGCATTTCCCTGTGATCAGCGTGTCATTGGACACCGCTGATCATGTGGTAAAAGGCCAGTATGAACGGCCTTTTACCACATCTCGTGATCAGCTGTGTCCGTAGGACACAGCGATCATGGAGATCGCCGGGTGCGCGCCCCCTGGGGCGCGCAGGAGAGTGCGTTCTGGGGGGACGTCATATGACGTCCACCCAGAACTGGCCGGCCGCAGTGAAGCCGTCATTCGGCTATCTGCGGTCGGCAACTAGTTAAAAGACACAAACATCACTAGCTCCATTCACGTACAGTACATGACTGGGAATCCCTGGTCATGTAAGAAAGAGGGCTGGAATAACTAAAAAGAAAAAAAGCATGGTTGCCCTTAAAATTCATACCGGACCTGAAGGGCCTGGTATGAATTTTAAGGTGGACCACAGGAAAATAAAAAACAAATCAAAGCAAAAAAAAAAAACAAATCAAAGCAAAAAAAAAAACAAAACAGCCAGACCCTTATCTCAACATGCAGACCGGTAGGCCCAGAAAGGAAGGGGGCAAATGTGCTGCCCCTCCCTCCTGAACCATACTAGGCCACATGCCCTCAATATGGTGAGTACCTTGCCAGGGGTCAACCTCCTAGCATAACACCTTGTCCCTATGTTGATGAGGACAAGGGCCTCTTTCCCACAACTCAGGCCCAGAGGATGCAGGGGAGCTGCAAGCCCCTTTAAAATAGATAACGGGCTCCCCCATGTGAATGAATAAGGGGTGCATTGTACCACTAATTATTCACTCATTCACAAAAAAAGGAACATGTAAATAAAGACACAGATTTTGACAAGTTGTTTAATAAAAAAGTCTCAAGTTGTAAATCCTTCATCAGTCATGTAGTTCAGTGATGTAGATCCATGTCATCACAATGCCCGATGCCTGAAGACACGCCAAAAGAAAAAAACTTGCCAATGCATGTCTGCTCCCCTTGTTTCACTCCTGCTGAATACCAGGTCTGGTGGATGACAGCTGATAGAAACAAAGGGGTGAGAACATGACCTGGTATAAAATTTTGGGAGACCTCACAACTTTTTTTTTTTTTGCATAGGGCACCCTTAAATTTCATACTAGACTTGAAGAGCCTGGTATGAACTGCGGGGTAGGGGGAACCCCATTCTGTTTTTTTTTGTATGGGGGTCACCCATTAACACCTTCATCTGGAATAAGGGTCTGATATAGATGAATGGAACCCCTGGTTGTTTGTAAACAGAACAAAGAGACTGGAAGCTGTCATTTTTAAACAGACGTTTTTCTCTGTAAATGAGTGTTGCTGCAGTAGCTGTAGTAGCTTGCATAAATGTGGCACTTCACTGGTAGGGGCATCCCCAGGCGTGTTTCGAGTCCCTGTGTGAAGAGGAAGAGAGGGCAGAAGAGATGCTGCCACGCACAGCGCTGGATATATTCTCCCCTTCTTACCTCTTCACAAAGAGAAGGGGGAGGGCAGAGGAATAGAAAACATTTTTTTTTCCTTAATGCAAGGAATGCATTAATTTAAAAAAAAAAAAATCTTTTAGTATCATTTTAAGAATAGGGTTAAGAAGAAGGCTAGTTAAGAATAAGACTGGTAGGCATATTACATGCAGTGAAATGTACTATATGTGCATTTTATCACATTAGCATTTTTTTTTTCTATTGGCTACCAAATGCAGGAAAAATCACGCTAGATGCCAATTTGATGAAAGCACTGTGGTCACATTAGTGAGTTCTATGATTTTCCTGTTAAACCATCAAAAAAATTACTATACAGTAAATAATGTGAATTCATAAAATAAGTGCTTAAAAATATTAAAATCTGATTTTTAATTTTATCTTTCCAATACATAATCAAACTAGTGACCTCTTCTTTCTCATTTATTATTTTGTTTTACAGAATACAAACTGGGACTTAGTCATATGGTTATGATATTTTTAGCTATACATGTACAGCTATAAAAGGCACTGGAGATTAGTATAGAAAGGAACAGTTATAAATGGTTGGAATGTAACTCTAAACATAATTCATTCACTGGAATAGGTAATTCCAGAAAGACATTAGAGGTCACATATAAAGGGCAAATAAACTGAATTCCCACATAATTGCTTTGTTACCCTTAGTTCAGGAGTCTTCTTTGTACTAATGTGAATTTATAGTACCTGCAAAGAAAAAAGTTAGGTTTTTATACTTATCCTACCCCATGCTACATCTCATAGAAACAGCAAATAGATTTTTTTCTTGAATTTGATTCAGGACAGAATATAAATAATCCAATCAGAAAAAATATGTTAAATATGTGCAAACACACAAAAGTGCACAAAATGTCTTTCATTTTAACAAAGATCTCATCATATGGGAAGTGTGGAGACTATGGGTACCTCTACTTGGTACATTGGAAGTGATACTAAACTCTGGTTTAAAAAAAATCTATAAGTATGAATTGTTAACTTTCTATTAACTTTAACCTTCTATTAATCTCAAACTCCTTCAAACTCCTTTTTTTTCTGCTGTGCTTCAACTTCCTTTTAGGGGGTGGCTACGTTCAATCTCCATGGTCCCTCTGTATGTAGGAACATAGCCACCGTCTCTTGATTGCTCCCGAGATGGGCTAAGGGACTATGTTTAGTTTGCATAGACCAATGCATATGACTGCAACTTGCAGGAACCAAGGGAGACCTTCAGGAGCTCACAGAGGATGTTATAAGGAGACAGAAAAACTCAATAAGAAACATTTTCATGAAAAATAGGTTACAGGGCCATTAAGCAGTGGATGTGTATGGATAATATTTGGAGAATAAGGACATCGACAAGTGTCACTTTAACCACTTGGACACCAGCATGTTAAATCCTCACTTTGAAACACACTTTGAATGACAAGTACTTATTCATGTAACACTGAACCCAAACTATTTCATATAATTTTTTGAGACAGACAGAACTTTCTTCTCATGGTATATAATTATTATTTATTACAGGTACTTATATAGCGCTGTCAATTTACGCAGCGCTTTACATATATATTGTACATTCACATCAGTCCCTAACCCTCAAGGGGCGTACAATCTATGGTCACACTTTTTTTTTTTTCCTCCTGCTATATAAAGGAAAATAGACTAAAATTTGTGAATTTTCAGTTTATTTTATAAAAAACTGTATAAATAAATAATGTTTCTTCACAGATTTTGGCCAGAATGTATTCTGCTACATTTCATTGGTAAAAAAAAAACCAAATAGGTGTATATTATTTAGTATGTGTGAAAGTTACACAGCCTACAAAATATGGTTAATACAGTATATTTAAAAATTGATCAATCCTGATGTACTGACTATATAAAGAACAAATCCTGCGCTAAACCCAATGTATATTATGAACCAGTGTATAAATACTGTAAATGAATAAAAATATGTGAACAAATGAATGAATAAATAAATACAATGAACTGTTTGCTACTCTCTTCCTGAATACCAGAACAAAAATACAACACAAATAAAAAGGGTCGCGCTGTTCACTGGTGATTTCATAACACAATATTATCATTATACAGTATTTATAAAGCGCCAATGGTTCGCTCAGCGCTGTATATTACAAAGGGGGACAGAACATGTGACAGAACAATACCAATACAATGCAAAACATGAGGGGATCGAGGGCCCTGCTCTTTCGAGCTTACAATCTAAGAGGGGAGGGGATGGTGGCACAGGAGGAGATAGCTGTGGGGGATGGAGTGGTAGGAAGCGTGGAGGAGGTCGGCAAGTTAGCAGGGGGTGGGGTAGGCTTCCCTGAAGAGATGGGTTTTCATGGTGCTCCTAAGGAGAGGAGAGTAGGTGATAATCTGATGGGTTGGGGCAGGGAGTTCCAGAGGTGACACCCTGGAGAAGTCCTGGAGGCGGGCATGGGAGGAGGAGACCAGGGAACTAGAGAGAAGGAGGTCTTGTGAGGAGCGGAGTGTGCGTGCTGGGCAGTACTTGGATATTAGGTCAGTGATGTAGTTCGGGGCAGTATGGTGGACAGCTTTGTACATCAGTTTTAGGATTTTGAATTTGATCCGTTGCGCAATCAGAAGCCAGTGGAGGGATTGGCAGAGGGGGGGGTGGCGGAGATGGAGAGGAGAATGAGTCTGGCAGCCGTATTCAGGATCGACTGAAGCGGAGATACCCAGCGGCGAGGCAGGCCAGTGAGGAGGGAGTTGCAGTAGTCGAGTCGTGATATGATGAGGGAGTGGATGAGCTGTTTAGTGGTTTCTGGGGTTAGGAACGTGCGTATTTGACAATAGACAATAGACAAAACATGACCATAAATTCAACCTACATACAAAAATCAACATAATAAGTGCTATAATCAATGTCCATGGCAAAAATGTACAAAATAAGTCCCAAATCCAATGTGAAAAAAGGAAAAGTGCTGCATGCTGAATATAATTTCTAACAAGAGGCTATAGTATTCACAGGTGCTCTCCACAAAAAAAACAGATCAACCTCTTACCAGACCAAACTGACCTCAAATTAAGAGATCAAATGAGCAGATAGTGTCCAGATTCCACACTGACACTCCTACTATCAATTTCAAAAAGAATGGATGGACAGCCGCAGGCTCACCCGGAATGGATTCCTCACACCAAACCACTCTCCATACATTAAAAAAGAAGGGTCAAAACAGAAGAGACTTCATAGTGCAACCCCAATAAAAATAAAGGTTTTATTTAATAAAAAATTGCACTTACATAGATAAGGTGCATGAAGGCAATACACTAATTCAAAACAGCCGCGGTGTCATTTTGCCAGCCAGTATGTGGTGACATCACAGAAGACTCAGCCCGACGCGTTTCCCCACAACTGGTGCCCTCTGGGATTGGAGAACTGTTCCAGGTGAGCCTGCAGCTGTCCATCCATCCCTTTGAAATTGATAGTACAAGTGTCAGTGTGGAATCTGGACACTATCTGCTCATTTGATTTCTTAATTTGAGGTCAATTTGGTCTGGTAAGAGGCTGACCTGTTTTTGTGGA